GCTGACAGTTAAACCGCCCCTTTCCACTTTTGCCGGGGAAGGTGTGTTGTGCAGTGGGGCGCTTGGTCCAGAAAGAAGCGTGATCGGTTCAAAATGTCATACGACCAGGTTCTTTTAAATAACCTATAGAATTGCACCATGGTCTAAGTGTTGCAGTGCGTATAGAGTAAAGGACAGTCGTCCCACCTTTCATAGAAATGTTGGACCAGCTAAACTAGTCAAAATATTGCAAAATTAAAAATAGTGGTGTATAGTTCAACATTTCTACTATCTATGTAGCATGAAGCAAGTTAGGAAATCATATATTCACTACCTTCAAAAAATCCCTGAAAAAAGGGTGAAAAGTGCAGTTTTGGAAAAGTACCTGTGCAGCTGTGCTAACTGCTAAGGTCTGTAGCAAAAAAATATTTACGTATTAAAAAATTTCTACTTACATAAAAGTTGCACATAGGTGTTTGCTTAAAATAGATTGACAGAATTTGCATATCTCATCCAAAAAATGAGGGCCATTTCCGCAAGATGTGTTATTAAGGTATTAAGGAACACCCATAAAAACGCATTTACAGTAGAACCTTGGTTAGCAAAGGCTCCAGTCAACAAAAAAAATCGATTGGCAACAAATAATTTTGATTACCTACATTTACCTTTCTCATCAAAAAAATTCACTTAAGGGGAGCTGGTGCAAAATCAACAATTAAGACATTTCCTGTTTTTATGCTGACATTCTGACCTATCCAACGGTACCAAAACCTACATTGTAAGCTGATTTATGCATTTACGACAGACCACAAAAGGGTCAGGTGTCGTGGAGCTCTTCAACATTTTCTTTTGGGGGAAATTACCAGCCAGACACATAAGACTAACGTCTGTCTGTTCAGTCAACAAGTAGCTGTCATGATGGAAGGTGCTCATGCAGTCATTCTCTGCATCTGTGACTTAATTCTAGCTCAAGTAATGCCTTGCCCAGTATCCTTGCTACCAAAAAGGCCTATATATAGCACGGCGCTGGCACTTGGGGTTTTCTTGGCTCTCCTGAACATTTGCACTTATTATCACTGCAAACCTATCTCCTAGAGTTTTTGAGCTACAGCAATGAGAGATATACACCATTTGATTTGCGAAGAAAGTATCTAGAGGTTGTTTGTAGCTTTTTTCCAATTTTGTTATAGTTTTAAAAATATTTTGAAAAAAGGGAGGGAGAAAAAAGAGGGAAATAAAAAATTTAACAAACAATTTACAAAAAATGCCACCCCCCACCCACAAAAATTCAAATTTCAAAAAAGCTCCAACCAATTAATAGATATGGTCTTTACGCATTGAATGACATGGGTCTTGGCATTGTAGCTTTAAAATCCTAGGAGATAGATTTCTACAGTACCACCTTTTTTAGCCATTTTCTAAGAATTTCATATCTACCGTCAACTTGGGCTACTCGGGACGATTTCAAACATTTTTCATTCATAACTTCTTACCATGAAACATTTCATAAACAAGTTTAGGCTCATTTCAAAGCTCTTTGCAAGGGCTATTACATGGCTTCTCCAAAAAAATTGCATATGCTATTGGTAAGGTGTCAGAAGCAAAAAAAGAGTGTCCCGAGTAGCCCTGTCGAACGGGGCTACTCGGGACACTTGGAATAAAACTTCATTTTAAAACATTTGAAGCATGCAAAGTGTACTCATCCATTACTAACAGTACTCTGAAGGCCTCGTCTTTTATTGTAGAAAGTTTGAAGCATGCAAAGTGTACTCATCCATTACTAACAGTACTCTGAAGTCCTCTTTCATTGTAGATGATGTAGAGGTAGAATGAATGACATTTACTGTGATTTTTACTTGTTTTTCCTTTATTGATATATTACCATATACATTAATTACCGTATTATTGATGCGATATTACTGTATTATTGATGCGATATTACTGTAGCCATGAACATGCCATTGGGCATGTACAACAACCTTGTCTGTGCTGGAATAAATCCCAGCATTAGCTTAACTATTAGTTTTAGTTTTAATATTTTTTAGTATCCGCGTACACGGACAGGCTCGTTCCGGGTTATTTAGAAATTTTGGCGGTTAGAGAAGCGTCGATCCCTGTTCCTGGGATAAACAACGGTGTGACGTGTAGACGAAGCAACATTTGTGAGTTATTTTATCATGACTAATTTTGTTCATGTTGTAGAAGTGTACTCTTAGCAACTGTCTGCAATGCGACTCTGTGAAATCCAAACATTAGTTTGAGATATTTTCCCTGGCCATTAGCTTAACTTGTCCTATGCAGCATTACTTAGCTTATGCGACCTGTATTTTGTAAGAATTCTGGTGTTCGAGACTCTCGGATAACATGAATATGAGTTATGATACTTTCTGATGAGTTCTGTCACTTTCTGACAACTGTGCATCATTTTCATGTAATTTTGCCTGATTTATCAGTGATATGAGGAAGGATGTTTAAGCATTGTTTACTGTTTCATGATGTTCTATCTCATGATGCACAACCTGAAAACTATGTTCTGTTTCATTGAATCCAGTTAAACTCATAAATGATCTTGATACTGTCAATTATTAGCAGTTTTACCCCATTTATAACGTGTGTTTTTTTAGACTGATTTTCTAGCTTACTGCAATATCAAAGTGATTGTGCAAATTAATCCAATTGTCCATGATTATTGAATCAATTACTATTTAAAATTCACTTGAAATGAATCATAGTTTAGGTAAATTACTTTTCATTCTATGATGCCTGGTGCACAATTCTATATATGACATTCTATGCAAAATTTTGTGATGCTGAGCAAGGTAAATGTAATCAATATTCTTTGTTTTTAAACAATTTTTTCATAACTGGAGCCTTTGCTAACTGAGTTTCTACTGTAAATGTGTTTTGGGGGGTGTCCCGAATAGCCCCAGAGGGATGTCCCGAGTAGCCCTGCCGTGCGTAAATGGCCACCATTTTTTTGGGATTGAGGTATGTAAATTCCGCAAATAAAGTTTTCATGCTGACACTTGTCTGCCACTTTTTTCTAAGCGAAATTCTTTAATACGGCAATTATTTTTTACTACAGACCTTAGCAGAAGTAACTTTTCAAAATATCGTTTTTCAGCATTTTTTCAGGAATTTTTCAAAGCTAGTAAATGTAGTATTTTTGAACTTCCTTTATAGCACTACATAGATAGGAAAAATGTTGATGTTTACGCCATTATATTTAGTTTGCAATATTCCAATTAGTTTTGCTACTAAAACAGTTTTACGCCGTGTCGTAAACTGTCCCGAGTTACCTCGCTCGTCCCGAGTAGCCCCGGTTGACGGTACATCATACAATTCCACATCATCTACAAAGGTAGAGGACTTCAGAGTACTGTTAGTAATGGATGAGTACACTCTGCATGCTTCAAACATTTTAAAATTAAGTTACATTTTGAGTGTCCCGGATTACCCCGTTCCCAGGGGTAATTGGGGACACTTTTATTTTGCATCTGGCACCTTAGGAATAGCATAGGAAATTTTCTTGGAAATCCCATATGGTAGCCCTTGTAAAGAGCTTTAAAATGAGCCCAAACTTGTTTATGAAATGTTTCATGGTAAGAAGTTGTTAACAAAAAACTCCCAAAGCCATCCCTTATTACCCCATTTGATGGTACTGCACTGCAGTACCATCAAATAGGTACTGCATCAAACCTCACCAAGCAAAAAAAAATTAACTTAACAAAAAATTAGTGCATCATTGGTCATCACAAAATTGTGCATTGATTGTCACCAATAGGTGACAATATGTCACCAATAGGTGCAGCAGGAGTCTTATGAAGAAAGATTGAAGATTATGAAGCTTCCCAGTCTCCATTATCATTGCCTGCGTGGTGACCTCATTGAAGTATAAAAGTATACTCATGGTTTGTACAAGGTGCCAGGATTACTAGTATTTGAAACAAGAACCAACTCCAGGGGCCACAGCTATAAACTAAAAAAACTGTGGTGCAACCTATCCACACGACAACATTTCTTCTTGCTTCAAGTCACCGACATGTGGAACAGCCTCTGTGAAGATATTGTTGATGCTCCAAGTATGAACGCGTTCAAGAACAGACTAGACAAGGCCATGCAGGAGCATATGTTTTGCCTTGAAATGCCTCATATCCTACAGAACAACTGATATCTTGAAGTGATTTTAAATCTACTGTCCATTGGAAATATTTGATCAAAAGGCCAGTCTAGTCAAGAAAAGTACAAGTATCTGCGACAGGCCTATCCAGACCTATTCTTCAATGCCAAAGATACTATACTATACTAATAGGAATGTGCACTGGGCAACATAGAATGAAAAGTAATTAACCTAAACTATGATTTTTATCTCCAAAAATATGTTGGATGTCACTAAAATATTCTTTTCTGTTCCATGTATGTTTTTAATGATCTTTTTCTTGTTATAGTTTACTTGACCTAATTAAAATTGTGTAAAATTAAAAGCCTAGTCCTGTAAGCTTACAGATAAAGAGGAACTGCTATATGGCTGCTGTTATGAAGCTTGCAGTGGACAAGGTTGTCAATGCTCAATGACATGTCCATGGATACGGTAATATCCATCAATAATGCAGTAATGTATGGATATGGTAATATCATATCAATAAAGGAAAAACAAGCACAAATCACAGAAAATGTCATTTATTCTACATCTACGCTACAAAAGAAGAGGAGGACTTCGGAATACTATAAATAATGGATGAGTAGTACACTGCATGCTTCATACATTTTAAAATTAAGTTTTATTTCAATCGTCCCTCATTACCCCATTCCTAAGGGTAATTTGGGAGGCTTTTATTTTCTGTCTGGCACCTTAGCAATAGCATGTGAATTTTTTTTTATATGCCATACAATAGCCCTTGCATAATCTTCAAAATGAGCCAAACTCGTTTATGAAATGTTTCGTGGTAAGAGGCTTTAAACAAAAAATGCTCAAAACAGTCTCTTATTACCCCGTTTGATGGTACTTATTTGATCTTGAATTTCTTACAGATGGTACTCTTCCTGCTTGGTTTAAGTTGGTTATTGCTGGATATCTTATTACTTCCAGTGTGTCTCAGGAAACCTCATACTTATATACCCCCACATTAATATCATGGCATACAGTATAAAAGAGTGCAGAGTTGTTCTGCACCAGCTCTCAGATGCTGCCGTCAAGAGTGGCTGGTGCCCTGAGCAGAGCCTCATTCAAGCAGCAACTGACGTGTGCAAACTCGAGCCTGAAGGTATGCTTCACAACTAGTGCTTGCAAGTCTATTTTATTTGTGAATCTGAAAGATGTTATACTTTGTTGACATTCATGATTCATTGTTCATATCATTGTTGAACCAAATCCTTTAACCGTTTGGAAAGTAAATTGGTGATGACAACTTGCAGCTATCATTGCTTTTCCTAAACATTCTATGGCAAATGACATTCACTTCATTTACCTTTTTTTTAGCAAGCATAAAAATATGAAAAGATTCTAATTTATAAAGCCAGTTATAGATTTCAAGTATTCAATCATATGGTATAATAACTCCTATGAATTTCCACAAATTTTGCATATTGAAATGGTAAATTGCAGTTGAAGAATTTATTAAATAAGGTCTAGGCTAAAAAAATGTTATATAATTTATATTCAATCATTCAAATGTATAGAATACCTAACTATTTAGCCTTAATTTAATTCTATTTGACCAAGTTACTTTATTTGACTGAATAGATATTACTATTTCTGTCTTTCGAAAATGTGAATAAAGCATCATTGTCCAAGTCTAAATATTCATTTAAATGCACATATCTTATTCTTAGGCATGGTAGAGGCAATGCTATGAATGGAGTGAAATGATGGGCAGATAATAATTGGTGATTGGCAGAGGTATGACATAGCAGGCAATGTCAGGTTGAATCAATGTTTAAAAAATGAACTTTGTGACGTTGAAATCTTGTTGATTATTAGTTCAGAATGAAAAGGGAATTAACATCATTTTTTCATTGTTGCATTGACAATCGCCTGAATACTGAGACATTCATGATAGAACATCTTAACCTGATACATACCTTGTAGAAGTGGGCTTCTAATGTCAGAATCCAACACAATTTCAATGTTGAAGCAATGTCTAAATGCACAATGTTGAAAAAATTACATTGATTCAATTTTTATTCTGGACAATGAATTTTTCATTGCTATTTCAGCAATCTAAAGTACCTTGTTTCAACATTGATTCAACCTGACATTGCCTGATGGGACCACCACCTCATTCACCCCCTCCCTTACCTAGTCGCCACTACCAGGATGGGCAATTACAACAACAACCACCACAGCCTCAATCACAAACTGTGGGCTGTGGGGGGGATCTTTTGGGAGGCAATTGCAAGTGATCAAATATTGCTTTTATAATGTTTTTAAGTGATCAAGTATAATATAAAAAATATTAAATGATCACTTAAAATAAACAATTTAAAGTAATTTGGCTGCTAAAGGGTTAAGGAAGCAGTAAAGAAAGCTTCAGTTCATTATTATGTTTATATTCTTAGCTGCAGTAGCCTCATGCTATTAATTCCTGTAAATTTCATGCAGCAATGGAGGGCAGCAGCTCATCCCTACCCTCCATCATGACAGTTTACATCAAAGAGGAGCCTGAAGATGAGGGAGAGGACATAACTGTGAAGGATGAACCACTTTGCAGTGAAGTATATGAGGTGATATTTTTAACATGATCTGTTAGCTTGCAATTTAACTCAATCAGAATGTAGATGTTTTGTATTTTTACAGTAAGCAAAAGCTTACAGAGCAAAAAAGCTTATGAACAACCTTATGAGGCATTTTTTATTCATGGTAACTATTCATGAATTGCTTATCAATTTAATTAAATTGTGGTTTTTGATTTTCATTGTGGTATTCTGTGTTCTTAAATTGAATATTTTCATGAAAAATCTTTTTATAATCCTATTTGAGTTAGGCAATTTTTTGTATCTCTTTAATTTATGCATTTTGTCCAAATCCACGCATGGCAACTAATGTCCCTGTTCTTGATGTGCTGACCAGCAAACTCCACTTCCCTCATCTTGCGAGCCATGCAAGAAAGAGGTTCAAGTTGAGGCTCACGAGGCCTGCACCAGCGCCTCACAGTACACTGCTGCAGTGCCTCATAAGCAGGTTGGTAGAGCTGCTTTCTCAGTACAAATAAATTGCTGAGCAATTCAAATGCTGATGATAGCTGATGATCTGTCTGCATTGGCTGTACTGTGAATATCTCATCTCTTCAGCTCTTATTTTTTATACATTTATCATTTGTTCAGCAATTTATATTCTCAATTCTTATGTTCTCTCATCCAAAGTTCTTGACTCATTTTCTGATAAAATATCTGCCTGTTTAATCTAAGCTTGTTGTTAGTATTACATTGAAGGTTTGAGATGATCAGAACTTCTGTGGCATTATATACCTTCTCTATTAATGTATGCTGCAATGGTGTTTATTTCTTGTATACCGGTATCTTGTTTTTCAGTTTTTTTTGTTCTTCTGTATAGTAAATAAATTAGAGTTGGGTAGGTATTTCTATGTTGGAAATGGATATGAATTCACACTTTCTTTCTGTATATTTTACAGATCAATTCTTTCTATATAATTCTTGTATCAGGTATCCAAAATGTCATTGTTTTGTAAGAGATGTATATACATCAGACAAGACTTGATACATTTTTATGGTCTTGCATTGACAGAAGTTCCGTGCCCTGATGTCATATCGATTACTATTGCCAAGATGATTTTTGCTTTTATCAGAGAAGTTCTAATGTACAAAATTGATATAATTCAAGTTTTTTGTGAATTCTGTCTCCATAAAAAAGTGTAGAAGACAGTGATAATTTTATCTAATATATGTTTGAACACTGCAATAATTTTAGGACTTGAGTTCATTGCCTGATTTGAAAGAATTGCTCACATGAATCTGCTCTCCGTCTCCAGGATGTCTTGCCTTGCAATGCCCAGAGCAACATTGGAGAGGATGAGTGGATGGCAGTTTCTCCTGAAAACAAGGAAAAAAATCTTTCTGTTGCTGAAAAAAATATTTCTCCAGCGTCCAATAGAGCAGCTTTAGTCCAGGAAGTTCTCTTTGATCAGCCTGCGGCTGAGTTCAAGTCTTTTGAGTCAAACTTGATCAACAAAGACAATGGAAGATTAGCAGTTGAATTGCATGAAGTTTCCTCATCTGCTGATTCATCCCATTCTAAAGTTCCTTTTAATGCCCTCCAGTTAAACAAAAATGATTTTGGATCTGAATTTAAATGCAAGTTATGCAACTATGTAACAGCTATGAAACGAAGTCTCCATAAGCATTTGTTTTCTAAACATAGTTTGGGGGAAGGATTCAAATGCAAGTTATGTGACTATGCCACTGCTAATAACCCAAATCTCCAAAGGCACTTGTTTTCAAGACATGGTCTGGGGGAAGGAGCCAAATGCAAGTTGTGTAATTATGAAACTGACAGACACGAACGTCTCAAAATTCACATGTTCTCTAAACATGGTTTAGGGAAGAGAGTAAAATGTGATCTGTGTGACTATGTTACTACTCGAAAAGACAATTTCCAACATCACCTGTTTGCAAAACATGGTTTGGGGCAAGGATTTCATTGTGATCTGTGTGACTATGTTACTGCTAAAAAACAAAGTTTACAACGTCATCTGTTTGCAGAACATGGTTTGGGGCAAGGATTTAAGTGTGATCTGTGTGACTATGTTACTGCTCAAACACAATATCTCCGAAATCACTTGTTTTCTAAACATGGTTGACTATGTTACTGCTCATAAACAAAGTTTCCAACGTCATCTGTTTGCAGAACATGGTTTGGGGGAAGGATTTAAGTGTGATCTGTGTGACTATGTTACTGCTGAGATACAGAATCTCAGAAATCACTTGTATTCTAAACACGGTTCGGGGCAAGGATTCAAATGCAAGTTGTGTGATTATGCTGCTGGTAGTAAAGTTCGTCTCAGCAGGCACCTTTCCTCAAAGCATGGTTTGGGAGGCTTAAAATGCAAGCTCTGTGATTATTCTGCACGTGATAAATCTCGTTTAAATGAGCACCTGTTTTCTAAGCACGGTCTGGGTGAGGGATTTCAATGCCAGCGGTGTGATTATGTCAACTGTAAAAAAGATGGTCTTGATAGGCACATGTTTTATATACATGGTTTAGGGAAAGGATTCCCATGTGAGTTTTGTGATTATGTCACTGGTAAGAAATCTTATCTAACAAAGCACCTGAAATCCAAACATGTTCTGGATTATGAGAAATCTATTAGTCCAAGTAGTGCTACTATGTCTGCTGACAATCCAACCTAAACTTTGTTGAGGGGGTTTTGTAAAATTCAGTTTGTGTGTATAAGTTGCAGCTGATAAATATCAGATGAAATGTGTACAGATTTATAGCAGTTGTTTGGTTGTATTCCATGTTGAATTTAGTTGCAATGCCACAATCAAAATTTGAATGACACTTGCAATCTATGCACCTTCCATGTCAAGAAATCAAGATCTTGATGCTCTGTAATCTGGTCGGCCTCCTCATTTTGTGCCGGAATTTTTAATTTTAAATAGAATCTTATTTAGATGAGATAATGTGAGAGATGCAAATCAATTTTTGTGCTCTTATAATCGGTAATTCAACACATTGAAATTTTCAAGATTATTTGTACCAAGTACTTAGTCATTTTCAGTACTCAGTTGGGGGAAGGGCATCTCCAATAATAAACTTCTTTGTGGCAACAATAGTAGCCTCCATTTATAAGCTACTTATTTAAATTTGCTAGATTGAAATAACATTTACTAGGTTGAATATAGTTGAGGTTTGTGATAATGATTTCTTAATGTAAATTTTAGGATTACATATTTGACTTTGAATTTAAGTTAGCCAATCTTCAGCTATAGATAACATCTACCAGTACTCCTGGAGTTGGAAGATAATATGTCTAAGATATTGTACTGATGATAAAATACATGAGATTTCATCTCATAATAATATGCATTCAAAAATTACTTTTAGAGACCACATGTACTATGTAATTTTTTATGTTACAAATGTACTATGAATTTCTTATTTTATGTTAAAATATTTGAAAAAAAATTACCTATTTTATAAAATTTTTCTTCAATATTAGGAAAAAAATTAAATTTGTTTAATTATTTATTCTGTTAATTGATTCATGCATTGTCTTCAACTTTATGCAAGTGTGCAAAATTTCAGATCGATTGGACTGGTAGAAGTGTGTTAAATATCGATTATAAGATTTGTAGCAGATAAACGAACAAACAACAATAAGTAAAGTTAAGGAAAAGTGTTGTAAAAAATATGTCCTTTTTTGCTTTAATGTTCCTCAAGATCTGAGCTGGTTCATGTCATCTCCACGGACAACAGATATTGCGTCAGCCACAGTCTTGTGTTCCAAGAGGAACCCAATTACCTTATCCTAGCAAACATTTGAGAGATGTTTAGGCACTTTATTTATTGATATCATTTACTTTAATTTTTCTACATTAAAAACAAGTGCTTGAAGGCAGTGCTTATTTTATTAAATAATATCCATGTTGTGGATTAGTGAACCCAAATGCCTTTGAGCAGGAAGTGATTAATGCAATTGTGACAATTGTAATAATAATTAATCAAGAATGAAATTTTGACTGCTCACTAGTTCTATGATGTTCTTCATTGAGTTATACTCTCTGTATCTGGGATTTTTATTGATAGTACAACAACGATGCAACTGAAATGCTTGCTTCCACCAGATTGTATTCGTAGACATCTGTAAAGTTGCCCTGGAGAGAATGAGCTAAACTTTCATAGGGGTGAATGTGGGGGAATTCTAACTTGACTACCATGGGTGACTTGGACCATTTTCAGCGCTTAACTTTTTGTGATGCAAATAATCACATAGTAAATACATAAAATATATCTCTATGTTGCCATTGTAGGTGATCTCGTGGTATTTTATGAGCCATCAACACAATTTCTTTGAAGTGAGAAGTTTTTGAGTTACAGGTTATTTCTCATCATCAAAAAGGTCCAAGTCATCTTGTTCAATTATAGATCCTACCTTTTTTCCATGTGGGTGGCATATTTAGTGTGCATTTAAACTTTTTCTAATTCTTCTAATGCAATAATTGGGTGGTATGATTATTTACATGTACCTATACACAAAAATTATTTTTTCGAGAAAAGAGTAAAGAATGTAATATTACCTATTATTATCACCCCTTAACGAAAACTAAGCGCGTGGGGGTCGGAGATGGCAATAAAACACTTTTTAATTACTGCAAAAATTATTTCCTTTATTCATGGATTTAGAGGAGAAAGTTCAGGCTCAAGTGGCCTGACTGGGCCGGGAGAGTGAGATTGAGCCGGCTTAGGACCCAACCACACGTCGCGATAGCACCGCAGCCCACGACCCCATGCAATTTCGTTCAGTGCTGCCTTTAGAACAAATGAATGTACAAATTAATAATCTGTTAATTTCTCTTAAAACTACAAGAAACGATTATATTTAGATTTATCTCTTATTATCATTAATCTATCACTTACATCATATTTGGTAAATTTATCTAATTATCAATTAGAGAAATAAATGGATTATCCATTCAGGGCACAGCCCCTTTATCTATTCAGATCAATCAGAGAAATAAATTAATTATCCATTCAGGGCACAGCCCCTTTATTAAGAATCCATTACACGCCTATATGAATTTAGCTATAAATTAGTTTCAAATTATAGCAGTTAATAAAAGTATAGAAATATTTCACTTGCACTGCAGCACCTTTATTATAATTGTAGCAAGGGGTAGAGCTAAGCTGAGTCAGCTTCAGAAACAGTCTGGCACACACTCCCACGACCTCGTGGTACCGCGGACTCACGTTTCATAAGAAGCTGAAGCTGGGGCAGGTGGCGGAAGATGGCGGGTGCTCCGACCGGAGCTCGGGAGGTCATGCCAGGAGATGAGTTCTTAGCCCGTCATGACGGAAGGCCTCACACGACGAGAAGTGTGTAGCCACATTTCCATCACAGCCGTCGAAGATAGAGACGAAACGCGAAAACTGACGTCGCGGAAGAGCTCGTATCTGGATGGGCTACTGGACAAGACTGCTGGAAATTAGCCGTATGCGTTGCAGTTTGGAACGTTCTAAAGGGAATCCCGAAACCGCGAGCCCGCAATAACCCAAAATCGCTAGGAGCGGTGCCAGCCAGTTTATATAAATTTAATGCTTAATTAGATATAAAGTAATTAGCTGCTGAAATCTTTGAATATAGTTTCTACTTGAGTTGTGCTGCAGTTACATGCTTAGTCTCATCTTAAAGCTAACATTCTGAGCTTTCCAACGATACTACTGCGATCCATGTACGGCAATATTGACGCACACGGCCGGGCTTTAACGGCGGGCGGGGGGTGGAGTTCCTTCAGTAAATAGACCTAAGAAAATTAGAGCGGCAAGACTACATATATTGGTGTATCTGGCATCTGAGCTCAGTTACCCTCCTAACTTTGTACGGAGAGGTGCGCTACAAGTTGCTGCTAGCATCCTTGAGTGGATTAAGCTACAGGAGCCTGTAGTTTGGTATCCATGCTACATTGAGTGTCTATTTCGAGGCGCGCGGGACTTTGTCGCGCCGTCCTGAAAAGTTCAACTTATTGTCACGGAAAACCTATCTCCTACAGTTTTCAAGCTACAGCAATGAGACGTATACCATTCGATTCGTAAAGAGCATACCTATCAAACTGAAGAGCACTTTTTTGAATTTCAGTCTGGTTCGTTTTTTATATGGGGGAGAAGGGCTAAAAAGGGGTACTTTAGAACGAATAAAACGGAATAGAATAAAGAATAAAAACGGCTAAAGCATCCACTCAAGGATGCTAGCAGCAACTTGTAGCGCACCTCTCCGTACAAAGTTAGGAGGGTAACTGAGCTCAGATGCCAGATACACCAATATATGTAGTCTTGCCGCTCTAATTTTCTTAGGTCTATTTACTGAAGGAACTCCACCCCCCGCCCGCCGTTAAAGCCCGGCCGTGTGCGTCAATATTGCCGTACATGGATCGCAGTAGTATCGGGGGGGAGGGTGGAAAAATGAGAAAAATGGGGAAAACGTGCATAAAAAAAACTAAGGGGAAAATAAGAAAAGTGCTCTTCAAATCGATAGAGATGGTCTTTACAAACCGAATGATACGTGTCTCGATGTTGTAGGATGATATTTGTAGGAGGAGATAGATTTTCTAAAGTACCCCTTTTCAGCCGTTTTCTAAGAATTTCTCGTTTTCTATCAATTTTTTGAAAAATTCATAGAAGCAAAATGTTATTTTTTTACATTTTACGTATGTATTTGAAGTTTCATGTTGATCGGATAATAACTAGAAGTTTTTCCGGAGGGTAGTCGGTCCCCTTAAAAGCATTCGGAATTTGAAATTATGTAATAATAATAATAATAATAAATATTATTACATAATAAATAAATTATGTAATAATTTAGCCACTATGCGGACCAGGATCCCTGGACCCCACGTGCGCGGTGCCTGGGACCCCCACGTGCGCGGTGCCTGGGACCCCCACGTGCGCGGTACCTGGGACCCCCACGTGCGCGGTGCCTGGGACCCCGCGTGCGCGGTGCCTGGGACCCCCACGTGCGCGGTAAATAGTTAAAGACTACTTATAGCCTTATAAGAATTAGCTAAGCTGCTAGCTACGTACAATGTATTGCACACTTGATGCCTCTGTACCAAAAACATTCAATTTATTGGAACCTAATACACACTAAAGGCAACAAGTTTATATACCAATTTGTCATTCATTGTACATTTATACCAAACCATGAATAACAATGCCTCAATATAAATTAAAGACAGCCACTCAATATATTTAAATATATGAAAAAATCAAATAAATCAAAAAAATCAAATAAATCATGATTTTTTTATAAAAAAATCAAGTGATTTAATCACATGATTTAATCATTTTGATTTAATCATTGCCAACCCTGCTTCAAACATTTTAAAATTAAGTTATATTTTGAGTGTCCCGTATTACCCTGTTTCCAGGGGTAATTTGGGACACTTTTATTTTGCATCTGGCACCTTAGGAATAGCATATGAAATTTTCTTGGAAATCCATATGGTAGCCCTTGCAAAGAGCTTTAAAATGAGCCCAAACTTGTTTATGAAATGTTTCATGGTAAGAAGGTGTTAACAAAAAACTCCCAAAGCCATCCCTTATTACCCCATTTGATGGGACTGCACTGCAGTACCATCAAATGGGTACTGCATCAAACCTCACCGAGCAAAAAAAAATTCACTTAACAAATAATTAGTGTGTCAATGGTCATCACAAAATTGTGCATTGATTGTCACCAATAGGTGACAATATGTCACCAATAGGTGCAGCAGGAGTCTTATGAAGAAAGATTGAAGATTATGAAGCTTCCCATTCTCCGTTATCATTGCCTGTGTGGTGACCTCATTGAAGTATACAAGTATACTCACGGTTTGTACAAGGTCCTAGGATTACTAGTATTTGAAACAAGAACCAACACCAGGGACCACAGCTATAAACTAAAAAAACTGGTGCAACTTATCCACACGACAACATTTCTTCTCACTTCGAGTCACCGACATGTGGAACAGCCTCTGTGAAGATATTGTTGATGCTCCGAGTATGAACGCATTCAAGAAGAGACTAGACAATGCCAGGCAGGAGCATATGTTTTGCCTTGAAATGCCTCATATCCTACGGAAAATCTGATATCTAGAAGCAATTTTAAATCTGCTGTCCATTGAAAAGATTTGATCAAAAGGCCAGTCTAGTCAGGAAAAGTACAAGTATCTGCGACAGGCCTATCAAGACCTATTCTTCAATGCCAAAGATACTATACTATACTAATAGGATTGTGCACTGGGCAACATAGAATGAAAAGTAATTAACCTAAACTATGATTTTTTTCTCCAAAAAATATGATGGATGTCACTAAAATATTCTTTTCTGTTTCACATATGTTTTTAATGATCTTTTTCTTGTTATAGTTTACTTGACCTAATTAAAATTGTGTAAAATTTAAAGCCTAGTCCTGTAATCTTACAGATAAAGAGGAAATGCTATATGGCTGCTGTTATGAAGCTTACAGTGGACAAGGTTGTCAATGCTCAATGACATGTCCATGGATACGGTAATATCGCATCAATAATGCAGTAATGTATGGATATGGTAATATCATATCAATAAAGGAAAAACAAGTACAAATCACAGAAAACGTCATGTATTCTACATCTACACTATCTACAAAAGAGGAGGAGGACTTCGGAATACTGTAAATAATGGATGAGTAGTACACTGCATGCTTCAAACGTTTTAAAATTAAGTTTTATTTCAATCGTCCCTAATTACCCCATCCCTAAGGGTAATTTGGGAGGCTTTTATTTTCTGTCTGGCACCTTAGCAATAGCATATGAATTTTTTTTATATATGCCATACAATACGGTAGCCCTTGCAAAAATCTTCAAAATGAGCCAAACTCATTTATGAAATGTTTCATGGTAAGAGACTATTAACAAAAAACGCTCAAAACAGTCCCTTATTACCCCATTTGATGGTACTTATTAGATATTGAATTTCTTACAGATACTCTTCCTGCTTGGTTTAAGTTGGTTATTGCTGGATATCTTATTACTTCCAGTGTGTCTCAGGAAACCTCATACTTATATACCCGCACATTAATCTCATGGCATACAGTATAAAAAAGTGCAGAGTTGCTCTGCACCAGCTCTCAGATGCTGCAGTCAGGAGTGGCTGGTGCCCTGAGCAGAGCCTCATTCAAGCAGCAACTGATGTGTGCAAACTCGAGCCTGAAGGTATGCTTCACAACTGGTGCTTGCAAGTCTATTTTATTTGTGAATCTGGAAGATGTTATACTTTGTTGACATTCATGATTTATTGTTCATATCATTGTTGAACCAAATCCCTTAGCAGTTTTGAAAGTAAGTTGGTGATGACAACTTGCAGCTATCATTGCTTTTCCTAAGCATTCTATGGCAAATGACATTCACATCATTTACCTTTTTGTTAGCGAGCATAAAAATATGAAAAAATTCTAATTTATAAAGCCAGTTATAGATTTCAAGTATTCAATCATATGGTATAATAACTCCTATGAATTTCCACAAATTTTGCGTATTGAAACAGTAAATTGCAGTTGAAGAATTTATCAAATAAGGTCTAAGCTAAAAAAATGTTATGTAATTTATATTCAATCATTCAAATGTATAGAATAACTATTTAGCCTTAATTTAATTCTATTTGATCAAGTTACTTTATTTGACTGAATAGATATTACTATTTCCGTCTTTTGAAAATGTGTATAAAGCATCATTGTCCAAGTCTAAATATTTATTTAAATGCACATATCTTATTCTTAGGCATGGTAGGGGCGATGCTATGAATGGAGTGAAATGATGGGCAGATAACTGGTGATTGGCAGAGGCATGACCCAGCAGGCAATGTCAGGTTGAATCAATGTTGAAAAAAATGAACTTTGTGACGTTGAAATCTTGTTTGATTATTAGTTCAGAATGAAAAGGGAATCAACATCATTTTTTTCATTGTTGCATTGACAATCGCGTGAATACTGAGACATTCATGATAGAACATCTTAACCTGATGCATACCTTTTAGAAGTGGGCTTCTAATGTCAGAATCCAACACAATTTCAATGTTGAAGCAATGTCTAAATGTACAATGTTGAATAAATAACATTGATTCAATTTTTATTCTGGACAATGAATATTTCATTGTTATTCCAACAATCCAAAGTACCTTGTTTCAACATTGATTCAACCTGACATTGCCTGATGGGACCACCACCTCATTCACCCCCTCCCTTACCTAGTCGCCACTACCAGGATGGGCAATTACAACAACAACAACCACCACAGCCTCAATCACAAACTGTGGGCTGTGGGGGGGATCTTTTGGGAGGCAATTGCAAGTGATCAAATATTGCTTTTATAATATTTTTAAGTGATCAAGTATAATATAAAAAATATTAAGTGATCACTTAAAATAAACAATTTAAAGTAATTTGGCTGCTAAAGGGTTAAGGAAGCAGTAAAGAGAGCTTCAGTTCATTATTATGTTTATATTCTTAGCTGCAAGTAGCCTCATGCTATTAATTCCTGTAAATTTCATGCAGCAATGGAGGGCAGCAGCTCATCCCTACCCTCCATCATGACAGTTTACATCAAAGAGGAGCCTGAAGATGAGGGAGAGGACATAACTGTGAAGGATGAACCAATTTGCAGTGAAGAATATGAGGTGATATTTTTAACATGATCTGTTAGCTTGTAATTTAATCTCACTCAATACTTGCATAAATGTGCTAATTTTTTAACTCAATTGGAATTTGGATGTATGATATTTTCACAGTTACATGGATGGAGCAAATAAGTCTTTGTCAATCTTATGAGGAATTGATTCTAGATAACTATTCATGAATTTATAATAAATTTAATTAAAAAGTAGTGTCTGATTCATATTGTTTTATTCTGTGTTCTTGAATTGAATATTTTCAGGTATAATTTTTGGTATGATCCTATTTGAGTTTGGCCATTATTTGGTAAATTTTTTATTCCTGAATTCTGTCCAAATCCACGCATGGTAACTAATGTTCCTGCTCATGATGTGTTGACCAGCAAACTCCACTTCCCTCATCTTGCAAGCCATGCAAGGAAGAGGTTCAAGTTGAGGCTCACGAGGCCTGCACCAGCGCCTCACAGTACACTGCTGCAGTGCCTCATGAGCAGGTTGGTAGAGCTGGTTTCTCAGTACAAATAAATTGCTGAGGAATTCAAATGTTGATGATAGCTGATGATCTGTCTGCATTGGCTGTACTGTAAAATTTCATCTCTTAAGCTCTTATTTTCAATACATTTATCATTTGTTAAGCACTTTATATTCTTAATTCTTATATTCATCAACTTAAAGTTCTTGACTCATTTTCCAATAGAATATCTGCCTGTTGAATCTAAGCTTGTTGTTAGTATTCCATTGAAGGTTTGAAACAGAACAGAACTTCTGTGGCAATATATACCCCCTCTGACAATGCATACTGCAATGGTGTTCAATTCTTGTATACCTTGTTTTTCAGGGTTTTTTTTGTTCTTCTGTATAAATAAATTAGAGTTGGGTATTTCTATGTTGGAAATGGATATGAATTCACATTCACCATCTGTATTTTTTCCAGGTACATTCTTTCTATATAATCCTTGCATCAGGTATCCAAAATGTCATTGTTCTGTAAAAGTTGTCCATACATCAGACAAGACTCGAGCCATTTTGTATGGACTTGCATTGACAGAAGTTCCATGCCCTGATGTCATTTCTATTTTTATTGACAAGATGATACTTTTTCTAATATATGTTTGAACACTGCCTTAATTTTAGGACTTGAGTTCATTGCCTGATTTGAAAGAATTGCTCACAAGAATCTGCTCTCCATCTTCAGGATGTCTTGCCATGCAATGCCCAGAGCAACATTGGACAGGATGAGTGGATGGGAGTTTCTCCTGAAAACAAGGAAAAAAATATTTCTGTTGCTGAGAAAAATATATATCCAGTGCCCAATCGAGCAGCTTTAGTCCAGGAAGTTCTCTTTGATGAGCCTGTGGCTGAGTTCAAGTCTTTTGAGTCAAACTTGCCCAACAAAGACAATGGAAGATTAGTGGAGGAATTGCATAAAGTTTCCTCATCCACTGATTCATCACATTCTAACGTTGCTTTTAATGCCCACCAGTTAAACAAAAATGATTTTGGATCTGAATTTAAATGCAAGTTATGCGACTATGTAACAGCTGTGAAACAAAATCTCCATAGTCACTTGTTTGCAAAATATGGTTTGGGGGAAGGATTCGAATGTAAGTTGTGTGATTATGTAACTGGCGTGCAAACACAACTCAAAATTCACATGTTCTCTAAACATGGTTTAGGGAAGAGAGTAAAATGTGATCTGTGTGACTATGTTACTGCTCGAAAAGACAGTTTCCAACGTCACCTGTTTGCAAAACATGGTTTGGGGGAAGGATTCAAATGCAATTTATGCGACTATGTAATTGGCGTACAAACACAACTCAAAATTCACATGTTCTCTAAACATGGTGTAGGGAAGAGTGTAAAATGTGATCTGTGTGACTATGTTACTGCTCGAAAAGAAAGTTTCCAACGTCACCTGTTTGCAGAACATGGTTTGGGGCAAGGATTTAAATGTGATCTGTGTGACTATGTTACTGCTCATAAACAAAGTTTCCAACGTCATCTGTTTGCAGAACATGGTTTGGGGGAAGGATTTAAGTGTGATCTGTGTGACTATGTTACTGCTGAGATACAGAATCTCAGAAATCACTTGTATTCTAAACACGGTTCGGGGCAAGGATTCAAATGCAAGTTATGTGATTATGCTGCTGGTAGGAAAGATCTTCTCAGCATGCACCTTTCCTCAAAGCATGGTTTGGGAGGCTTAAAATGCAAGCTCTGTGATTATTCTACAGGTGATAAATCTCGTTTAAATGAGCACATGTTTTCTAAGCACGGGCTGGGTAAAGGATTTCAATGCCAGCGGTGTGATTATGTCAACTGCAGAAAAGATTGCCTTGATAGCCATATGTTTAATATACATGGTTTAGGGAAAGGATTCCCATGTGAGTTTTGTGATTATGTCACTGGTAAGAAATCTTATCTAACAAAGCACCTGAAATCCAAACATGTTCTGGATTATGAAAAATCTATTAGTACAAGTAGTGCTACTATGTCTGCTGACAACCCAATCTAAACTTTGTTGAGGGTGTTTGGTAAAATTCAGTTTGTGTGTACGTATAGGTTGCAGCTGATAAATATCAGATGAAATGTGTACAGATTTATAGCAGTTGTTTGGTTAAAGTATTCCATATTGAGTTTAGTTGCAATGCCACAATCAAAATTTGAATGAGACTTGCAAACTATGCACCTTCCATGTCAAGAAATCAAGGTCTTGATGCTCTGTAATCTGGTCAAACTTCTCATATTGTGCCAGAATTTTTAATTTTAAATAGAATCTTATTTAGATTAGATAATGTGAGTGATGCATATCAATTTTTCTACTCCTATAATCAGTAATTCAGTACTTTGAAATTTTCAAGATTATTTCTACTAAGTACTTAGTCATTTTCATTACTCAGTTGGGGGAAGGGCCTCTCCGAAAATAAACTTCTTAGTCGCAACAATAGTAGCCTCCATTTGTAGGCTACTTATTTAAATTTGCCAGATTAAAATAACATTTGCCAGTTTGAATGTACCGGTAGTTGAGGTTTGTGACAAGGATTTCTTGATGTGAATTTTTAGCTTACATATTTGACTTGGTAGGTTAGTCTCCCAATCTTAAGCTATAGGTACCCTCTACTCCTGGAGTTGGAAGAAAAAATATATATATTTTACTTCTGACTAAATACATAAGATTTTATGTGATCAAAATTTGTCCTTATTTGCTTTAATGTTCCTCAAGATCTGAGCTGGTTCATGTCATCTCCACAAACAACAGACATTGTGTCAGCCACAGTCTTGTGTTGCAAGAGGAATCCAATTACCTTATCCTAGCAAACATTTGAGAGATGTTTCTTTAGTTTATTTATCATTTTTCAATATTTTCTTGCAAGAAGAAGTTTATCCAGTACTTTTAACCATCATCAAAAACAAGTGCTTGAAGGCAGTTCTTATTTTGTACAATAGTATCCATGCCATGCATTAGTGAACCCAAGCGTCTTTGAGCAAGAAGCGATTAATACAATAGTGACTATCACAATTTTTTTTAAAATCTACTATTAATCAAAATAATGATTAATAGTATTATTATTCGGTAAATTAATTGGTGATGACAATTGTTATTGGCTGACTAGCCCTATAATTTCATAAATTTATGCTGTCTATATCTGGGATTTTTATTCATTTTACATCAACGGTGTTACTGAAATTGATGATTGATTAGTTTGATTTGAAGGCTGTGAGTGCTTATGCACTGCCCAGCCTGATCTCTGTTATTAGTTGAGGATAAAAGGAAGAGGCTTGGACCAAGCCCCAAGCTTGAGAGCACTGGGCAAGAAATAGTGGCAGCAGGCACCCAAAGTCAGGAGACTTCTTACAAGCTCTAGACTCTAGAGGTATGAACCTGGAAACCCCAGCGCAATCACTGCATTCGTAAAGAGTGCTCACGTACCAGTGAATCTGGTACAACATAATAAAAATGAGCTATGGTGTCTTCTATTTGACATACTGAGGAAACTCCAGTTGCTGCCATTCCAAATCGAGCACGGTGAGCAGATACACCAGCATGGCCAAGACGGAGGCGAGCTACAGCACTTTGTAGTGACGTAGGTAAGGAGCTATAGTCAATATATGTTATGCTATCATCAAGGTTGTGCCTAAATTGGCCACAACCATTGTCAGCTACTCGAGTTTGCCAGTATCCATACCAATGTTGGCGGAAGACCTGAGATATTGCTCGGAGAGACTCTTCAAAAGTGAGTATGGAGCAAGCTATTAACTGAAAAATTTGCGTTGTAACACATCCATGCGACAACATTTCTTCTCGCTTCCAGTCACCAACAAGTGGAAGTCTCCCTGATGGCATCGTTGACGCTCCGAGTATGAACGCCTTCAAGAACAGACTAGATAAAGCTATGGAAAAATATATGTTATATGATAAGACTTGAAAGGCCTAGCACCTTACAGAACTAGCAATAAGTCCAGCAGCTATCACAAACAATCGTCTGTTATGGAAAGATCGGATTCAAATGGCCGGGTCCCTTGTGAATCAAGGCACGAAAAGTACAAGAAGCGGCAACGGGCCATGGGCCTATTTCTTCAGTGCTGACACTTCTATTCTAAGAGGATTAGAGGACCTACAGTGGGGGGAAATAAATATTCGTACACTTGAAAAATCGTATTTTAATGTATGTAAGTACACAAACTTAACAGGAAAAGTGATTTAAATTATGTATAGAGACGCATAGTATTCAAAAATACTATCAAAAGAAATTAAATCTCAATGCAACAAAAAACAATGC